TGAGAAGGTTGCATTTTTTTAACAATCAATGCTGTTGCTGCCCTAACACACCTGGGTCTTGTGGTGGCCCAGTGACGGACTGGTGATCTGTCCAGGGTTGACGGCACCTCTCAACCAAAGTGTGCAGGGAGAAACTAATACTCAGTCCTTTTTGTTAAGACGCCTCGATTCTTTTTATTTGGCTGGTAGCGGTAGTATTCAGAGTGTTCTACAGAGAAGACCTACTGGACCGACAGTCCTTTCCTCTTGATGTATTATTGCCTGAATACGTCTGGATCGTACCTAATATAAATTCAAATTAATGAATGAATAAGGCACCAACTCAACTGTAGTGAATATTTCCATTTGATTTTTTGTCAACAAATACAATTGACTGTTTTAGTCAATAGAACCTGCCAGTTGTCAACAATGTTCTTTAACCAGTTAATCCCGAAGGTCCCCCCAGTGGACCCCTCCCACAGTTTTTTTTTTCTCACATGTCTCAGGGCTTCTTAACATTTATGAAACTATTAATGTTTCATACCCTTTTAAAGGTAAGAAACTCCGCTAACTGACAATAAGAACAATTGTTAGCTAAAAAAAACACAAGAGTAATACCAAGCCTTTGAATTAGCATTGAGCGAAAAAATGCTAACTAATGCTAACGCTTTTTTACACACAACACACGGTAGAAATGCCCTTATTACTATCTTAACTGCACAAACAAGATATACGATTTAAAGCTGAGACTCCACAGATTCCACACATGTAATGTCATCACTGTAAGACCTCGAATTCCTGGAGCTATCAGCCAGAAAAGAGAAAGTAAACAACATCCGGTTCCAAAAATATTACAATAATTACGTCTTACCTTTTTTGATTTGTGATCAAAAGTTGTGTTCAACGGAATAAAAACGTATCTCAAGGTTAATCCAATGTCTTTGTGTCACGTAGATTTTTTTACTGATAATCAATCATCATATTTATGGCAATATACTCGGTATAAAGTATTGCCGTCCAGGCTTGCACTTTCAGATATGCTTCGTTTGCTTCTCTATTACGTCCGCTATGGTAATGTTTACGTAGATTTGGGAACTGCCCATCGATTCTATTGGTTCTGATGGTTAAGAAAAAGGTGTAAATCACACGAATCGACCAATGGGTTCCAGAGATATGGTCCTGCGTAAAGTATAAAGAATGCCAGCCAGCGTAAGCACATTACGCAGCCGACTTCATTTATTGTTTACAACGTAACGAAGCAGGAAATGCAGCAGGACCCAGAGCGGACGGAGCGGACAGCAGTTAACAGAATTGCAGTTTTATTGCTTATAGATTATCAGAACATTTCAAAGGGGACACAGCCCCATTGGATATTAATCTATGGATTAACTACATCATCGTTTTTATCGTTTTAATGCCATTGAAGACCAGTTTAGACCAGACAACGAGGAAGGTAAGTCATTGTTAGCCTAGCGCATTAGCGCTAGCGCCATTTGTTTTGATGTACGTTTTTGTTGATAACGTCGCGAGTTTGTATCTTTCAGTGTTGGGCTGTTCAGATGGGCACCGTTAGATTCTGTGTCTCCTTGCGATCATAAACAATGTGTTGGATGTGCAGCTAGGATAAGTAATAAGGGAGCGAGGAGTGATTTTCGGTGCAGTAATAGGTTAGCATTTTTCGCTCGGGGCTAATTCAGTGGCTCACTGTAAGAGTAAGCCTATGTTTTATTTTATTTTATTATTTTTTTCACAACAGTTGTATTTGGATGGAATGAATACCTATAGTGATAATTCAAAGTAATAAAATGATTTTTACAGTGAAAAAGTTCAAATGGAACCGATGGTTCCCAAATTACCCAGAGGTGAGTCCGCTTAGACTTTATTTTTCTAAATCTCTCTAAAAAAGGTCAAATTTCACTTGTTTTGCATCAATCTTGATACAGGGTACTTATTATATGTTATAGTTTGGATTCCTAAAGCTTTTAGTCTACTAACCCATCATGCAAGGGTGGTTTTCACTATAAGTAAAGGTTTTTTTTTTAGGTGGACATTAGAATTTACATGTTTTTACTATGTTCCATCTGAATTTACTTTAAAATAAAAACATCTATATTGATTCTGATACTTCTACATCCAACTCACAGATGTAACCTTGCTTTGAGAAAAATAATTATTAATTTACCCCTTTTAGAAGTGAAGATATATCATTTGTTGTGTTAGTGGCATTTTCGAGCCTGAAACCTGAAAAACAGGCTCAGGGCTTAACTGGTTAACCAACAACCCCTTTTTTTTTTTTTGCATGTAGAAGTCCTTTATATTTAATGAAAGTAGAACAACCCCTTGGCATATCGGAGACAGATTCTGCACCCTAAAGCATTACCCTCTACCAACAAAAGCCTGTGATTTTAGATCAAGAGATCCAATTTCAATAAAACAATATTGATGGTTATTGATGAATGTCTGGCATTTGGTGTAAAACATAACGGATCAACAGAGCATGTGACATGAATTAAATCAAATAATGTAACACTAAGTGCAAATGCTTTACCTGATCAACATGATTAGCATCACCAGTTGGCCAGCGATGCTTGCTGGGCGTGCAACCTCCAAGCTGCTCCCCGGGCTGCCTCTGAAAGAAGTATCCAACGGTGGCGTCATCCTGAGACCGTCCACTCAGTGGAGGCTGCGGGGTACCCGGGGTAGGGTGAACAACCCTTTCCATTCCCTGTAAATGTGGGACTACAGCAGCCTGTCCAGCTACTCCAACGTGAACTCTGACACCTACGGACTCAGGAGCGCCATTTGCATGCAGCATCCCACCTCTTGTCTCCTGCCAGGCCACGTCATTCATACCTAGGATGCTGCATGGAACGCTCATTCCACGGTAAAGCCTATACAAAACAAAGATAGACAAACAACTGTTATGTTGACATGGCTATTCAGACTCGTTTCATCCCCGTTTTGTGCTTTTCTGCATAGTAATAACATTACTTTTAATAGACTTTAAGTCTGACACAAATAAGTCAGTAATATGGTTTAAGTACCTTCTTTTTATTTATATAAAGTCAATGTAGCACCAATTTACACTTGACAGTTTACCATATACAGTAAGGCTTTAAGGAAATAAAATGCTGCAAGTAAAACATGTGGGCGTTATTGCTGAATTTATTGTGAGTAAAAGTACACCTTTATAAAAGATTAAAGGGAAAGTTTTCACCCAAAAGATTACTACACGTATAACAGGTAGGCTACCACTTATTTTCTTCGCCGGGAAATGACTAATTCCCGAGATGCTAACTTCGTGCTACGACTATAACAATAGTTTATGTTGCACAAGATTTCAAAATGTAGTTGACGGATGAAACTGGGCATTTACATAAAATGGGAAGTCTAATTTCGACGGTTTAATCATTCACGAATGGGTAAGGCAAGAACAAAACAGGTAACTGACTAGCATGTTGATGCATGAATGCTAGCTAGCGTTGTCTTTAGGCTAGTGTTAGCTGGTGATCATGGCAAACGAAACGCTACCGTTAATGTTACTAGTGATGCAAAAACACTCGATGTTATCGCATAACATTGGGTATTGTATTCCCACTGCAAGAACCATCGGTAATGTTTGACTAGCTGCACTGATATATCCAACATTACTAGTCGATGTGACAAACCGATGTGCAAGCAAGCCTTCAATCAAGCTAATGATGTTAACCTAGCCTGCTAGCCCGTTGCTAACAAGCAAGCTAGCCTAGCCGCTTTGACTTATTATTTACGTTACTTATATTTCCAAATGTTTAATAGCTAGCAATTCCTTGATGTGTTGCATTGTATGTTTGTTACAGTGCACGTCTTTGTCGGTACTAGCTGATATCGCTTTTGTTTATTGTTCTCAAGTGATACTTCACTGGAGCATTAGCAGCCAGCTAAAAAGCTAACGCTAGCGGGGCCTGCTGTTTATTATTGGTTTGGCGATCAAAGTTACATTTGTGAATTCACGATTGTCTTACAGTAGCGTGTGGGCTCACCTGTTCGATGGAAAAGCCGTAAATGTTCCTTGGTTCGTAATAAAGCGTTGGTTGAATGCACACACGCCTAATAAACCCAAATAGCTCGGAGCTAGCACACGCTTATTGCCAAGTTGTGTGAGCTAAAACATGAAGCAAACACTGAGTGGCTCAACAACATGGCCCCCCTTCAAGTTCCAAACAGAGGGGCCTTAACCGCTAAACAAAAGGGGAAATACTCACAGCACGGCAGTCGCGTTTAAAATAGTCGCTTTGCACAGCTTTTGCCCTGAACACATAAAGAGGAGATACTCACGCGTTGTCTTGTCGAGAGAGGGTCTCTGCTTGTAGCACGCCGTCAACCCAATTATATATTGTTTTTGTTTCCTTGGAGAGAGCGGTGATTTAGCAAGGCTTGATAGTCAAAGCTAAGAGTTTGCCTACGCTAGTGCCCCCTCCCTGTAAATAGCGTGAACTACGTAGACATGCGTATAACAATGTCGAATTGAATTTGCCTTCCCAACGTACCTTTTTTACACCATGGCAAGATGTATTTTATTTGATAAGCAACCTGACATCCATCATTTTGTTCAAATAAGCATTTCCCATAAAACTTCTTATTTAAATATATAGGCCTATTTTAGAATTCGAGCGTATTGAATACTAGACTTGTATGGACAAAGGATTATCTTTAACCAAATATATAATGTTTAAATTCGGATATGGGGAATGTTTAATGACGAGCAGCCCATAAAACACGTCGTCTTAGAGAGGAATAATAAAAAAATTAAAAAGCCGTGTTCATTATGCAGTTTGATTCGGATGATTTAAACTGATCCTGGGTCGGGCTTGTCCTCGTGGTCCATGACCCTCCTCTCCATAAGGGAACTCGGTGAGATCCAATCACCTCTTCCTCTACAAACTGTGAGCTCACCTCCCTATTTCCTATTGGATTGCTATATTTAGGAAACCACCCTATGCTTTATAAAGAGATCGCACTGTTCCTGGTCGATTTTCTGGAATTAGGAGGCAGGAGTGCCTTACGGGATACGTCTCATTTAGACTTTGAAGGCAGAAGGAGTGACTACAACGGGCACATCTGTGTGTTTGATGCCACGTTTAAGCGAGCAGTAGGAAAAAGGAAGGAATGGCAGACATACGGAAGAAACTTGTCGTGGTGGGGGACGGCGCATGTGGGAAAACATGTCTTCTTATTGTATTTAGCAAAGACGAGTTTCCCGAAGTGTATGTTCCGACTGTGTTTGAGACATATGTGGCGGACATAGAGGTGGAAAACAAACAAGTCCAGCTAGCTTTGTGGGACACAGCTGGACAGGAGGACTACGACCGGCTGCGCCCCCTCTCCTATCCGGACACCGATGTAATTCTGATGTGCTTCTCCGTGGACAGCCCGGACTCGTTGGAAAACATCCCAGAAAAGTGGGTCCCTGAAGTCAAACACTTTTGTCCGAATGTACCCATTATATTAGTGGCCAACAAGAAAGATCTGCGCAACGACGAGAACGTAAAGAACGAGCTGTCCCGGTTGAAGCTGGAGCCCGTGAAGGCAGAGGATGGCCGGGCCATGGCCATGCGCATTGGCGCATATGACTATTTAGAGTGCGCTGCCAAAACCAAGGAGGGGATCTGGGAGGTATTCGAAACCGCAACACGGGCTGCCTTGCAGAAACGCAAAATACCATCAGGAAGTTGTCTCAAATGCTGTGTTTTGATGTGAATCGACGCAGACAACTGTGCCGCGCAGACAATATGCTTCCCCCGCTGGGATCTGTGTTTTAACATGTACGGGCAGAGACAATGGTTTGGATACTCCCATGTAATCACACGACCTTGGTCGAACCAAACCCAATGACTGCAAACAGGTTGTTTTCAACACCCTCGATGATGGGTTGATATCGGGGCGTGTGTCTGTGAAATGCACTGGTTACAGCATGTTATTTGTTGTCACATGATCCCTGTCTGGCAGGTTAAGAGGTAAAAAGGTCAAGCTTAATATCAGTGGATGCCTTATTTATCCCCTTTGTAATAATGAGGACATGTCCTTTCTAAAGGCCTGCTTTCGAGCCAAGGTTAAAATTGCTTACTTTTTGTGTTTCAAAGTGTTTGCATAGGCCACTGCCTTACTGCCAAGGTTATACTTTATAATAAGCAAAGCAGTAAAAAAAATTGCACTCGATATTAATGTCCACTTTGTATTGTAAACAATGACTATTAGTTTGTGAAATTGCACAGCATCTGGACAGTACAGTGATTCACAGAAAGTGTTATGAGAAGTAAAAGTCAGAGCAAGGATGCCTGAGGTCTTCTGTATAGTTTCTTGTGATGTTTTACGCCATTCTGAATAAAGATATAGCTTAAGTTTACAGTTAAAGAAATCAGTTGTCTCAGGTTTGTTAAAAGTATGTTGTCGACTCCAGTATTAAATGCCTAGTTTAGTAGTTCCTACAACAGGTAAAATAAACATTGAAGTTCAAAGAGACTAAACATTGGCCAGCATTAAAAAAAAAAAAAAAAGGCCAACCACATTGTCCAGTGTAGTTAATTCCAAGTATCTTGTCAAATGTACAAACAGTTAATAGAAATATAATTGGTATGTTTGCTAAGCATGTTACTACCTTCCCTTATAGCTCACCTGATCCCAACCTTTTTAAGCACTAAGTATCTCACCATGTTTCTGAATTTGATATCCAGGTCTAGCTGTTTTACAGGCTGGAATATCTCAGCTGTGTTGTAGTAGACATTTTCTATTTAGCTACAGCTTCCTTTACAGTTATGGTGTTGATATGTCCAAGAGAAGATTAAGCATGTGTGATGGTTTAGCATGTGAGTGCTATGCTCAGTTAAACTCGTTTTCTTGGAAAATGTCAAGAAAGAAGAATGTGCTATGTCAGAGCTCTATGAGCCAGTAGAACAGGGTTATGTTGGGTAATGGAAGGGTGTGGTAATTAAAAAGAAACACATGGAATTGTTTCATATGTTATTAAACCACAATCTTATGATAATTACACAAATGGGTATCCCTTTGACAAAAACAGTACTGTTTTATTTATGAAGATGTTAAAATGTGTTTACAGGCGTTAAACTGAGTTATCAATGTCTTCCATTATGACTGTGAATGTACCTCAAATTTGTTATGTCAAAAATATTGTTGGAGCTTTGAAGTTGGCATCAGTATTTAACGAATTTGAGCCAAAATTCCATCTTGTGTAATAAATTAAACTCATGTTTAATCTGTGTCTAAACAAAAGTGCTGTCCTCTTACAGGATAGTGGGAGTGCTGGTTTAAATGACAACTATGAACATCAATTACAGAGGGTGTTGCAACACTGTGAATCCAGGATATAAATCATTGGTGGATTTACTATACAAGTTGTTCTTTTAGTGACAGAGAAACAACATTTTTCTTAAAACATGTCATTTTTCAGTGGTTAATTAAACAATTGCTAAGATAAATCTTAATAAGTTTATAAAGACTATCTTTTATAAATCAAACCAGATACAATGGTGCAAAAGTCACATTCCTCCCTGCCTTCTGTTGCTGGGCTTTTTGCTGACTTACAGGACAGGAATGCATTGTGCTCGACTGGTTAATTTTCCCACACTGGCCCCCCTCATGTGCCTCTGATTTCCAATGTTGTAAGGTTATTATTCAGTGATCAGACAGGGCAGAGCATCATGTTTTATGAAAACAGAAAAATGCTGAAATGTGCCAAACACATTTGTAAGAGTTTATCATGACAACTTTATTGTAATAATATAATGTTTAGGTTTGAATGGGACAATGCACATTTCTTTTGAGGAAAAACAATACAGTATAAGGGAACAAGCGGTAATGTTTTGGGAAAGTCAATAAAAAATCAATGTGTCACCACCTTTTACTCTCACTTTTTTGCCTCATTTTCTCAAACTAAAGACACACACTTAGTGTTGGGGTTAAGCTGGCATATGTTTCAACCAACTCAAAAGTAAAATAATAAATGTATCTACAATTATGTGACCTTAATGTTTGGGATTTTTGTTACTTTAAACAATAACTTTAATATAGGTATTATGATTATTGAAGAAAAGCAACACAAGTATATTTACTGATGTAAATATTGGAGGTAGTTGTACTGTACGAGTATTTCCGTATACTTTATTGCATATTTAATATGGTTATTTAATATTTAAAATAATTCTCTTTAACTATATTGAGTTGACTTTTTATACTTTTGATATTTTGCATACATTTAGCTGATATAACTTCTGCATTTTAACATAAGTGAGATTTTAAAAAGAATGTACAATGTATTTTTCCAAATGTTGTATTGCTACTTTTGATTAAGTAAATACACTGAACACTATTGATTATAACAAATAGCCAATAGCCATCACAAAGAAAAACACAATTCATGCATTACAAAGGGTGAATCAATTTTAAGACTTAGCTTTTACATATGTATGTTTAAAACAACTGTCAAGCTGACTCACTTGTTCTCATCGTTTTGTGATAAGGCAAGTTTATTTATATAGCACTTTTCTGTATGCGACAATTGAAAGTGCTTTACAAAACAAATTCAAATACTTTTTAGGAATAAATACAGTAAAAACACATTATATAATGGCATTTTACAACAGGCATTACAAAGCAAAGATAATAAAATAATAAAAATAAACACCACAGGTATACAATACATGTTTAAAAGGCATACTGTAGTTCGAATATGATCATCTCAATTAAAAGCAGCGGCAAAGAGATATGTTTTTAGTCTCGATTTAAAAATAGTAAGCGTTTCTGCGGACGTGCATGATTTGGGCAGTTTGTTCCAGAGTGTCGGGGCATAACAGCTAAATGCTGCCTCTCCATGTTTTGTTGTTACTCTCGGAACCGATAGCAGACCCGTCCCAGAAGACCTGAGGCACCTTGATGGCTCGTAATTATGTAGGAGTTCAACAATATACTTTGGTCCTAAACCATGTAATGATTTAAAAACTAGCAATAGTACTTTAAAATAAATTATTTGGCCGACTGGAAGCCAATGTAAAAATTTCAGAACCGGACTGATGTGATCCACTCTTTTAGTGTTAGTGAGGACACGTGCAGCAGCGTTCTGAATCAGCTGCAGTTTTCTGATGGATTTTTTTGTCAGCCCTGTGAATACACTATTGCAGTAGTCGAGTCTACTGAAAATAAAAGCATGGACAAGCTTTTCTAAGTCCTGTTGTGACATTAGTTTTTTAATCCTCGATATATTCTTCAGGTGATAATAAGCTGACCTAATGACTGTTGATGTAATGTGGCTGTTGAAATTCAGGTCTGAGTCCATCACTACACCTAGATGTCTGGCTTTATTAGTGTAGTTTATTTTTTGTAGTCTGCCAACTGAAGCTCTGCGATTACTTTTAATCGGTCCTTCTTTGCTCCAAAAACAATGATCTCTGTTTTTTGTTTGTTCAGTTGGAGAAAGTTCTGAGTCATCCAGTCAGTGATGTGCTCAATGCACTTGCTCAGTGTTCTAATTGGAGAATAGTCTCCTGGTGTAATTTTTAAATAAATCTGGGTGTCGTCTGCATAGATATGATAGCTTAGATCGCTCTTTTTAATAATTTCAGCCAGAGGTAGCATAAGAGAGCATGTGTTTCACAGATGCTATGTGTGTCTCTGCTAAATTTAGACCCAAGGATACAAATGACTAATGGGCATAAGACAGGGCATAGTGAGCTTTTTCAAATGTTACTTTATTGCGACCTGTTCAGTAGGCTGTGTTGGTTTTTTACCCTTCATATAGTCTTTTTGAGGGAAGCAGCTTGAACTCAAACTGTTTTTAATGTGTGGAAAATACCAATTCATACATTAGCTGGAATAATACAGCTGAAGAAATGTTATTGTGGTGTACAAATGTTAGCACTTTAAGTTATTCTGTTACTTTTATAAGTCTGTAAAGAAGTTTTGTTTTAGTCTTATGTTCAATTATATAAAATAAATACAAAGAAATGTAAAATATGCAGTACAAACTGTCTTTATTGAAGGCCACATTTTTTTATTTTTAAATAGTACAAGACACAAAGGGAGCACGGTAGGACCAGAACAACTGGGAGTCTACTGTGAAATAACAAACAAAATTAATAATTGGAAAAACCAAACAGAGATAAACATTATGGTTACACAACAGATACAGTCAATACAAACACTGACATATATCCTGGTTAGCCATGGTCAGTTGGTTGAATTATGCGGAAAATGATAAAGGAATGTTCACCTCCAACTGTCTATCACCTACTCTCACATATGGTTCAATACTTTGGCTTTTCTCCTTAAGTGTCTTAATGACATTGTTGTGGAAAGTGTTCACACGTTTTGCCAATAAGTCAATCCAGGACTGGATGTCGGCTTGAAGCTGTTCAAAAGACATGTCAGCCAAAATATTCTGGAGCTTAGCTTTCACAGCTTGAAGATATTCTACAACAATTTTGCGGGCCTCTTCAACCTGCCGGGTAACATCAGCCAGGACCTGAGAGTTAATGGCATCATCGTATACTTCAGACACAAAGTTTGAGAGCTTTTCTACGTTTTGAGATTTAAGGGTTTGCAGAAACTTCTCACTTTGTTCAGTGGTAAACTGTACAAATCCAGATAATTTATTAATGACATCTTCCAGCTGGATTTCCCCCAGTTTCCTAACAGTGAGAATAACTTGGTCCTGAATTTTCTTCAAAGCTACAAACAAGTCATCAAGAACTTCTCTACCAATGACAACGTGGTTAGAGCCAGGAAGAGTGAACTCAATGGCTTGGACATAATCAAGGACTGCTTTAAACATGGAGGCAAAATACTCTGGAACTCTTTGAACAGCCTCCTCAGATACATCAGCAATAAAAGTACTTAATTCCTGGTAAGCCTCAAGCCCAGACAGCCTCTGTTCATACCCAGGGAGCTGGAACTTGGTCTCTCTCAGGAATTTAACAACAGCATCAAGGACAATTGCAACTTTCTTTTGGTACTCTTGGAGGATCAAAATGGTCTTATCTGTGACAGTTGTCATAACAATAGAAGGGTTTACTGCTGCAAAGTTGTCAATTGCCCTCTTGAACATCTCTTTACCCTGATCTTTAGCCTGCTCAAAAGAACCCTCAAGGCTTCTCGCTTGTCTGTAGATGGTGTTATATGTGTTGACAGCAGGATCAGATACCATTTCCATTACTGCGGGCACCTGTTTCTTCAGTCCCAGCACCATCTCATATGGCATCTCCATGTTCCAGGTTGTCTGAAGGTTCAGCTTCTCAGAGTTCATCACAGACATCTTCAGACCGAAGATATCAATGTCGTTTGTTGGCTCGGACTGTGGGGTAAAAGGAAAAAAGGTTAAATATATTACTAAAAATAAATATACTGTTTTTTAATGAAATCACAATGAAAGGTTATTTATAAGGAAAAGTTATCTTACCGGGTAGCGACCGTAGACTCTTGCTTTAATTTGAGCTGGGCGCTTAGTCTGCATCTGAAGTGCAACAAGTCCTGCAGATGGAGTGGACATAGAGACAACAAGGCCTTCCTCTGGATTTCCAGTAATCTCCTGATAGACTTCCATGGTCAGGACAGGTAGAGTGATCTTTGCTGAATTGGTGATGGAAGTATCCACATTTTCATAGCTTAAGGTGATAGTGCTCTCATGGTTTCCCTCAAACATTAAATGTTTCACAGACAGGACAGAGGTCATTTTAATTCCACCAACTTTGTAGAGGTTGGCGTTGCCCTCAATCTTTCCATTCAGAATCTCAAACTCAGAGGTTGAGGAAGCATCAAATTTAATGAGAATGCTTTCCTGGTTAAGGATGCTGGCATCAGTTTTGAGAGTAACCATTGCTGTTTTCATGGAGCACTCGTAGGTCAGATCCCCCAGTACTGGAATTCTAATGTTCTGAATTTTGGGCAGAGTGATTTTTGGAAGAGTCAGCTTGCTGAGGGCAGATGGAACATGCAGAGCAGGCATTGTGATGAGACTGGCGTCGGGGAGGGGAATGGTGAATGAGGACACCTCAACATTAATCACAGGAACTTTGTATGCAGGAATTGTAATGACTTTGGGCAAATCAATGCTATACTTTTCATACTCTGCCTTGGCTTCTTCATAAGTTGATACCAGGACAACAGCAGCCTTATCTTTGTGGATGAGCGCTTTCTTGTGCAGAGTCTTGACATTCTTATTAATGAAATTGATGAGTGGCTCCACATTGATGTCAATTGTAATCACCTCAGGGTTCTTCATGTACTTCAGCTTGGAGTTCATGTCAAATGTCTGCTGAGTAGTGATCAGGAGGTTGCTCAGGCCAGTGTCTTCCCACAGAGAGTAGTCTTCCACTTTTGGTGTCGTCAAACCAATAAATGGCACAGTCATTTCTAGAATGGTGATGGGCTCTTTTAGCATATCCAGATTTGCTTCTCCATTGATCTGGGACAATATGTTGATTTCACT